GGACCCTCGATCCCAACCCTGACCCCGATCCCGAAACCCCCGAACCCAATTCCAACACCGATCCCCATCTCAACCCCGGAAGCCCTGACCCCGATCCCAGCCCTGACCCCCGATCCCAATCCCAATCCCAACCCTGACCTCGATCCCGGGATCCCCGACCCCAAACCCTCCCCCTGCCCGGCAGAGTGGGGTGAGCCGCCCGGTAACTTTCACGTGTTTATTAGGGATGTGCGCGTTCCCAAACACACCAGCCCTGGCCCCACCACCCTTCCCGCAGCACCCCCATCCCAACCCATCCCGGCCTGGAGCCGTGGAGAAGGAACCAGCTCGGTCTGAGCTGCTCACGGCAGCTGGATCCTCCCTGTCCTCCAGCTGTGCCCACCAACAACATCCCAGAGGGTTCCCAAATCCATCACACCGGTCCTGCCACAAATCACTGCCTGCCATAAATCTCCCCCAGGAGCTGCAGGAACCGAGGCGCATTCCTGTCCCAGGGAATGGGAATTTTGGCCAGTAATGACATCAGAGCAGGACACTGCACCATCACACCACAGAGAACATCCCACTTGGGACACAGCAGCTCTGCACACACGTAGTGACGGAGGAGTAACACCTTTGTAACTGCAACAGCACCACAGCTACGTCAGGCTTCCAGAAAAAGTGAGTTTCAATTCTGACCGCTCCCAGTCTGTGCCAGCACATCCTGCTATGTCCACGGGAGGAAGTTGCAGTGCAGGAGCAGTCCCAGCAGCCAGTAGCACAGGAAGAATCCCAGGATGCCCTTGCTGAGGGGGGTAATTAATCGCCAGTTCAGCAGCAGCCTCACAACGGGGTTGTCAGGAGTCCCTTTCCCACAGGAACTGGGAGATTTACCTAGGACAGATCTCCCAGGGGGTGGATTATCAGTCCCTGCACTCCAGAGTAAAGGTTCATGTTCCTGAAGCAGGTGAGCGGAGAACCAGTACAGGATGGGAGAGGAGGAGCCAAGGAACCGGGTCAGCACCTGGAGACAACAGGCACAGCAAAAATCACACCAACTGCAGCTCTCTAATTGTGGCCAGCCCTGATCCCGAGGTGTGGAAGGAGCCCCAGTCCCAAGGCATGGAAGGAACCCTGATCCCAAGGTGTGGAAGGAGCCAAGGGCCTGCCTTAGGCTGCTGATAAAGGGGATGGAAATACAGCCCCAATTCATGGCATTAGGATTTATTACATCAAAATGACCTCCCAGCACAACCTGCTTCATCTCTTACAACGCTGTGTGAGCAGCCAAGGGGTCCCCAGGTTTTGCTCCCTGTCACTGCCCAGCTCAGGGCAGATTTGAATCTCAGGCTTTGATTATTCTTTTACTGGAACTCCCAAACTTTGGTGCCACCAGCTGTGCCCTGGATCTTTCCGCTGCCATCCATTAAGCTCGGCCCAACAGGACAAGGATCCAGTATCCGTGTCCTCCAAGGACAGCAGTGCTTGGCAAGCCTGGCCTTACACCAGGCTGGATCCACTGATCCCTGTCACCGTGTCCCCATCACATTGAGCACCCAGCAAGCTCTTTGGGAACTCTCCAGAGGAACTAACTGGCTTTGGATTCTCTGGGGAAGTAGCTCCCAAAGAGGAAAGGCAAAGCTTTTGGTTTCCATTCCCCTGTGCTGCCCCACAGCTTGGGACAGCTTTGGGCTGTGCCTGTCACTCCCTCAGACCCCATAAAGGAACATGTGCCATGAGTGTCCTACCTGCACGTGCATGCAGAAGAATCCAAAGGCCAGCAGGGCTGTGGCATGGACCACGTACACAAAGGCAGCAGGGCAGCAAAATCCATCTCTTGGCTTTCCCTCCTCTTCACTCTTACTTCGCTCCAGACCAAGAGTCAGGCAGTGCCGGGGGTTTGTGCTGACGTAGGTCCAGGCAGCCCACGAGACCAGAAGGGTCACAGGCAAAGCCAGCAAGAAATTTGGGATCTGTCTGAGCTCAAAGTATCTTAGAAAGCCCACATTCCAGTAAGTGTCTTGGATGTAGGAATAGACCACAGGGACCCTCTGGGAGCACCATGGGGGTTTAGCCCCATCCATGGCTGCCGGATGATAGCCCTTGTCCCGAGCCAGCTGCAGCAGTGGCTCGGGAATGGTCCGATCCAGGCCAGTGCCAGGACCACAGAACCTCAGGTAGGCATAGTACTGAAACAAAGCAAAAGGTAGAAAAATCCCAGCACTCATCAGGACCGCTGAAGATGCCAGGCTAAGGACCTGCTTCCACAACAGAGGGAGCCTCCTTAGGGATCCTGATCCCACCTGCAGCTGGAGGGCAAAGCGTTTACCCTGGGAGTAGAGGAAGAAGCCAGCGTTAATCAGCCCGTTGGCACGCGCCCCAGAAGCCAGGGAGAAGAGCAGCCCACCGAGCCAGCTCTTCCCCTTCTCCAGCTGCCACATGGCACCGAATGCCAGGAAGGCAAACATGCTCTCTGAGTAAGCAGCTGCCATGAACACGTTGGCAGGGCTGAGAGAGAAGAGGAGGGCAGCGAGGAAAGCCACGCGGCGCCGCCGCAGCACGACACAGCCCAGCTCGTACAGGGCAGCGGCTGCCAGGGCGGAAAACAGGGAATTCAGCAGCACAGCTGAGAGCAGGAGGCGGCTCCGCAGCCGCAGCAGCCGCTGCAGGGGCCACAGGGCCCCCCTGGCCACGGCCCACAGGCTCAGGGGGTACAGCGGGAGGAAGGCGCAGTTGTGCTCGTACAGGTATCCGTGCTCCGCGATGAAGAGGAAGTGCTCTGCATCCCAGTGGGACAGCCCGCCCAGCAACCACTCCACCAGCACATCCCACGGGCTGGGCTCTGACAGCCGAGGGGGAGAGAAGGCATCTGCGGCGTGATCCGGGATCAGCAGGTTAAAGACAGCCTGGAAAGAGAAGAGAGGGTTGAAGCCCGGCAGGGATCCTCCGGTACCAAAAGCAGCGGGCAGGAGAACTCCTGGGGTTCAAACAAAGGGATCAGAGCAGCACCAAAGTCAGGCTGAGGGGCTTCGCTTGTAAGGATGCCTGTGAGGTTGGGAAAAGGGGCAAACACAACCTTTTTTATTTATATCTGAACAGAATAAAGCTCTGGGATGTATCCAGCATGAATCCCCACAGAACTGGCCAAGGAAAGCTGCTCAGGCTGCACATGCTCACTCCAAGCACCCCAGGTTTCCCCATCAAGCAGGAGCACCTCATGGAGCACAAGAGGTACTAAGGAGAGAAGCCTGGGAGCAGCAAACTCCAGCTATCCCAGCCCCTCTGGCTGAGGGACAGGAGACTTGCCTGCAGCAGCAGCGTCAGGGCTCGGCAGCGCCCGGCGAACCACACGACCTCCCGGAGCTGGGGGTCTTCCCTCCTCACCAGCTCCATTCCATGCTTGGAAGTTGCCTCAGTAGGTCACTGATGTCAGGGGAATTCTCCCTCCAGTTTGGGAAGCCTGGGTTGGTAAATAGAGAGGACAGAGAAAGGGATTTCTGGCTTCAGCCTCATTTATAAATGATGCGCCTTTATTTACTATCAGGCACTTCAAAGGGTGCAAATCTCCGTGAACAGGAAGGTCACTGATGGGGAGATGACGCAGAGACCTCTTTGATATTGTTCCTATTAAAAAAAAATTCCCTGGCTTCTTAACCTTGGCTAGGACACAGAGGGAGAGAGGTTATGTCATGTACTCTGAGCCCATTCCTCACTGGACTGGAGTAAATCCCTGGAGCAGACAGGCTCCATAGCTGCCTCAGCAGGAACACCGGCAGCTGGAGCCAGGACTCCACCAAGCCTCCTCACACACATCCAGTTCCAATGCAATGAATGAGATTTAAACCTCTTTTCCTTGGAATAGAGACAGGATTCATGTGGACTCTGAGCGTAACATCCGTGTAAGCAGTTGCTGTGTGGGGCTCACGGTGCTGCCAGACTCTCTCTCCTCTCTCCTGCTCCATGTTTGCCCCTGGAGAGCCAAGAATGGATGAGCTCAGCATTTGCTTCATGGCACCATCTCTGTCAGAGGAAGGTGGTACACAGGTACACAGCTTTCCCCCAGCACAGACAGCACCTCCAGGACACGAATTTTGCACCACTCCACCATCACCACCAGCAGTTTTCCAGTATTTTGGCAAAGCTCCTGACTCCGGAGCGTGGGCACCTGCCTGGCAAACGTGTGCTGAGGTGGCTGTCATCCACCTCCTCCCTGCAAATCCCACCTGCAGGATTTAAAACTCCTTGTGGAGCCTCCCCCTCCCCTCCAGTTTAATTCCTGTATGTCCTGGATGAGGTTGTGGCCCAGCTTGGAGCCCCTGGCCCCATGCCAGGGGAGGAGGGTGGGATCTGCCCTGCAGGTTTTTAAGATAAGACATTTCTTCCGTTGGTTCCCCAGCCACCAACTGCTTTTCAGTTTGAGAAACACACAACCCACAGCTGTCACCAGGTCCCAGTGACACCACATCCTGCACTTCTGTCTGCCCCAGCACTTTGTAACACATAATGGTCCCCAAATCGATCGCTTCACAATCTAAAATCACCCAGAGGGTTCTCTATTACCGTTTTACTGATGGAGGAAAAACCCTGCCAAGGTTTGAAACTGCATGAGAGAGTAGAAAGCGAGTCACCAGCAAGGCAAAAACCAAGATCCAAACACACTCATTGGTAGTTCCAGTCCCCAGCCACAGGGTTATGCTTCTTTTTTAGCCACAAATAAAAGTTTTGGAGTTGTTCCTATTCCCCCTGTGCTCACCAGCACTCACAAAGCAACTAGTGGGAGGCACATTCTCCTGAATCACGAAGCTGTGACGTTATTTTAAGTGAGGGGACACTTCAACCCAGCTGTAAATCCTTTTAAAGCACATTCACAGCTGCAAATCCTATTAAAGCACAGCGGCAAAAATTGTCCCGGCACTTTAAATACTTTTTTTTTTTTTTTTTTCAAAAAAGCAGAGAAAAAGCCTCGCCTGAATGTGCCAAGAGAGCTCAAAGCAAACAGCTTTAAAAAGCCTGTTCCTGTCACGACTCAGCACACCTTGTGACGGAGCAAAGCCTACAAAGAGCTGCAGCCCACAAGCACCATTTGGGTAAAGAACTCGGCATCAGGGCTGGAATGGCTCTGCCCCAAAAATCCTGTGGGAAAGAGCACCTGCACTAACGGAAAGGAAAAAAAAACAAAAAATAAAGGAGCCGGAAAGGCAGAAGTGGGTTAAAAATATTTCAGTAGAAAAAGATGCAAAATCTCAATTAAAGATGATTTTCTCTCCGGGGTTCTCGCACTTCCCTTCGCTCTGAAGATGCGAATTGCAGTTTGGAAACAGCGCTAAAAAAAGGATGTGGGGAAAAAAAAAGAGACAAAATAGAGGCCGGGTGAATGAGCATGGAAGGGGAAATGAGCATGGAAATGTGAACTCGGCCAGCTCTGTAGAGGCGCAATGGAGGGCGGGGACCAGCCGGTGGCAGCAGCCGCTCTCCACAAAGGCATTTCCTGCTCCAGGGCTGGGGTATGGAATTCTGCTCCAGCCTGCATCCCACAACAGTTTGGGCACCTCTTGGTACTTCCCCAACCTGCTGCGATATTCAAGAGATAATCCAGACAGGTTTGAAAACCAAAATGCTAAAGAAACACCACGGAATTTTGGAAATCCCCCTCACCCGGTGCTGTTTCTGTGGGCCTGGGAGCTCTGGGCCTTCTCTCCAGTTCCAGCTGCTGGTCCGGAGGCTGCAGCTCCAGAAGAGCTTCCCTTGTTATCCGAATGGAAGTGGGAGGGTTTTTACCCCTTTGTGCCTTTTGTAAGAGCTCATGTGGGTGAACTAAACCTGCTCTGGGTCAGAACACAACCCTGCCCGCTCTGCTTGAGCCGACGGCTCTGAGCCCTTGGCTTCACCTTCACCTTCCCTATCCCACAGGGATGTAACAACTGCTCTGCACAGCACATCCATGGAGAGACTGGCTTCTGCTGGAATGCTGGGGATCACCCAGGACTCTCACTCAGTGTCTCAGGTGGCCAAACCCACACAAGCAGGAGAAGGGACACAGAGTTATCTCCCCTCAAAGATAAGAGGAGTCGGTGATTTGCAGAGTCCCCGGCAGAGGTTTGATGGGGCTGAAGCGCTGAACAGGGACATTTCCAAGATTAGGGACGGGTACAGCCTCTGTGTTTATGAATGGATGGACACACGAGGGTTCACAGGCCCACCCTGCCTCAAGAGGACACGCTGCCACCAACCTCGGTGGTGCCAATAACCCCCGTTATTCCCCTTCCTGCCCCGCTACCGGCGCCAGGGACCAGTGGTCCCGGTCCCGATCCCCATCCTGATCCCAATGAGCCCGAGCCCAATGCCAGTGGTCCCGGACCATGGGACCTGGTGGTGCTGGTCCCGGTCCCGATGATCCCAATCCCGGTAGTCCCAATCCGAATGTCCGTTCCTATCCCCATCCCAGTGATGCCCCGTCCCGATGACCCCGATCTCGGTGATGCCCAGTCCCGGTGATCCCAGTGATCCCGGAGGTCCCGGTGCTGCCCATCCCAGTCCCGATCCCGATCCCGGTGGTCCCGGTGCCGCTCAGCGCCCCCGTGCGGGTTCGGAGCAGTGACCGCCCCCCCCCGGCCCCGCCCCCCCGGGCTCCCCCTCCCACCTTGAGCGCGCGACTCCTCCGCGCGCCGGCTGCCTCCGCGCCACTTCCGGCCACGCCCCCTTCCGGCATCACGTGATCCCGAGCGTGTGTGCGGGGGGAGGGTTGGGCGGCGCCATCTTTGTTGAGGGCGGGAAGCGCCATCTTTGTTGAGGGCGGGCCGGGGGCGGCGGCGCTCGGGGAGCCCCGGGCCGGGATGAGGGACCGGGATGGGGGATCAGGGATGAGGAATCGGGGCTCAGGGCAGGGCTGGCTGGGGCAGCGCGCCCCGTGCAGGTCAAAGGGCCGCCCTCCGAGGTCAGGGAGCAGCGGCACAGGCACCTGGGAAGGGCAAGGGGGCCATGGGGGCAGATGGTCTCCTCGTAGTGGAGGGGACACAGGCAGCCCCTCATCCCGGCCCATGGACATCCCTCATCCCAGCCCCTCGCCTGGCAAGGCTGCCTGGAATGCAAACCCTTGCTGCTTCGGCCTGATTCGTACCCAAAGCTTTCCATTCCTGCAGGAATCCCTTAAAACTCCTCTTTGACCCCGACCACTCCACCATTCCCCATTTTTGGCCATCAAGGGGGAAAACTTGAGTTCTCCCCAAGCCAGCCCACTGATTAAAAGCACTCGGGGAGTCTCCCTTAAGGACTCAGCTGGTTGTGGTGGTTTCTCCTTCATTCCTGTGATTCCTTCATGCCGTGTCCTGGTGGAGCTGGGATGAGCAGCAGGACACGGGCACAAGGCACCCAGGGATGGATCCATCACCATTCCCAGCCCTGGCCCCTGGAGCTGCACCAACCCCGACCTCGAAGCCTTGCAGGAGGCTCTGCCAAAACACATTAACCAACATTACCCAGCCATGGCCTGGCATTGCATGGGGGTTATTACATTAATTACTCACAATTCCAGGACGGTGGGCAGCTTTCCCTCAGGATCTTGTCCATGGGATGACAGAGCCAGATTCCCTTTCACCCCAACCAACGTGGTCTGAGCCTGACTGTAACTAGCACAGGAATGAAGGAGAAACTATCACAACCAGCTGAGTCCAGAGACTCCCTGGGTGCTTTTTATCAGGGATCAGGCTTGGGAAGGACTCCTTTTCTCCTCTGCTGGCAAAAATGGATAATGACAGAGTGGTCAGGGTCAAAAAGGTGCTTTGAGGAATTCCTGCAGGAATGGAGAGCTTTGGGTACAAATCAGGCCAAAGCACCAAAGGTTTGCAGTGCAGACAGCCCAGCTGAGTTGGAGGTCAGGGGTGGCTCCCAAAACAGTCCCAGTTACACACTGGGAACATTGTTTAATCTTAGTTTACTGATTCCTCATCTATGCCATTTTTCTTTTTCACTATTTTAGAAGTGTCTGTGTCTGCACACAAGTGCTGGGGGAGCAGAATTACTCCCCTCGGATCAACTGGGTGTACAAATACTGGTAAAATGGGTGTTTAGCACCACTCCTGACTCTCCTTTCCCTCCCAAAAGCAGCATTCACTCAGGATTAAATCCACAACAGGAACACAGATGATGTACCAGAGACTGCTCACGTTACCTGCTCCGACCTCGCTGCTGGGTCCTCTCTGTTTAGGGAAAGAAGAAAAACTTTTTACATTAGTTTGATCAGGTTAAACAAAGCTCCTGGAATACAGAACTAAATTATCAGAGAAGCTGGGTTTTGAATCAACAACAGTGTCACAGAATGGCAAAGTCCAGCAGAATTCTTACCCCACACTTGGTTTCCAGGGTTTTTTAAAGCCAAGGAAGCCCAGCACCATTCCTGCCTTTTAAGAAATCCATCTGAAGGACTCTCCTGCCAGGCAAAGAGATCCTGCAATTCCTGCTGATAGATAAGACTTTTCAGAAAAGGGTCTGTTTGATTTTGGCACAGTTACTCCCAGGAATCTGAAGTCTAAGGAATGAAGGAACCATGAGCTTCCTAGGAGAGGACTAGGAGACAAAACAGGGTGAATTTTTGAACAAAAATTACATTTGCCTTTAAAAAATGCTTCTTTTTCTTTCATGAGCTCAGAGCACTTGTAGCTACCCTACTTCTGGTATCCATTGAGGATAAAGCTTCAGGCTAAATAAAATACCCACTACTTCCAAACCCCTAAAAACATGCAGATCCTCATCCAAAGAGCCTGACCTTTGGCTATTTGCTGAAGGGCCTCGGAGCTCTGTCCTCTGGAAACCCCCAGCCTCGTAAGGAACTCAGAGTCCACACCACACTTCCAAGAAAATGTGAAAAATGTGAACAATTTTCCATTTTCAGAGCTGAGAGGGAACTGCCTTCCCTTCCCAGCAAGGCCTTTCTCACCCTGGGAGTTCTCTCTCTGCCACGGCTTCATCTCATGCTGTAAATCCTGAACCTTAAGGAAAAATTCCATGACTGAAACATGCCCAGAGAAAGCAAAGTCAGATCGTGCAGCATCTCCTGAGCAAGGCAGGACTTTGCCATCACCTGACACTGCTGCACCTTGCAGGACCTTTGAGGTCCTGTGTGGGAAAGGAGCAGCTGATCTGCACCATCACTGGCAGCACTGAACTTCCCTCCCTGTCCTGCCAATAAAAAAAACCCTTACAAACATCTTACCAAGATTTAATGTACATTTATTCTTAACACGTGGAACATATAGTATAAAGATTTCATACTGAATAAATGATATTCATTAAGCCAAAAAAGGAAAAAAGGGAGGAATTTACATCAAGTTTTTAGCTACATCGTCTGAAATACAAATATGCAGAATTCATCACTGAAAAATCTCAATTGTGTTTCTTCATCAGGAACTTCAACTGAACCTAGAACTTTTTCACACCTCGATTAGAAAGAAAACAAAAACAGGAAAAAATAAACTATAAGTTGATTGGCTGCTGAGACAGCAATGACTTTATACACAGAGACCTGTACAGCATCCTCCAGGGAGGGATGTCTGGCAAGAGATTAAATAATTGTGTCTCGCTTTTGCAGGTCATCAACTCGTTAACTCGTCATACTATAAAGGGGTGGGGAGAGGGGGACAAAACTGCAGGAGTCTCAGGGTATGTGCAATGTACAACGTCATATATATATACACACGTGGCAGCTCTCGGGCTGCAGCTAAAGGTTAAAACCAGTTCTAAGAGGTGATCTCAGGGTTATTCATACAATCAAGGAGGAAGAGAGAAAGAGGTCAGGGTGTTGTAGGTTCACACATTATACTTTGGG